AAACACTTATTCACGCATCCGCTTCATTGTACCCACGCAAACACAATCACACACACACGCACAGAATCAAGGATTTAGCATTTTTCACACACAATGTTTTAGGCACGCCTAAGACCAGGGCCTAGCATAAGACAGTTGGCCCCGAGCCGTTAGGCATAAAATAGAATTGAAATAACCATACGATAAGCTCAATTTGTGCGCAGCTTTAGTGGCGCATTAGCCATACATAAAGCAAAGATAGCCGCCATATAAGCTGACTGTCGGTGTGCGTGTGTGTGCGTTGATGTGTGCGTCACTTCCGCTTGTAATTGTAGTTACAATGTCACAATCACTAGACCATATAAACGCAAGCAAACAACACTAGAGCAAGAGCCGAAGATGTCGACAGCACGCACACACACAGATACGCAAGCTCACACCCGCACACACACACACATAGATATAGGCGTAAACAACACACAGCGCGCACGCACACGCACACACACAGACATACACATGCATTTGGCCATGGTCCTGGCGCTGGTCCTGCTTCTGGCTTTTGTGTACGCTTTTAAGTGGCACAGCTCGCCCACTTGGGCGCTTTATTAGCAAAGTGAAACTTAGACAATGCCAGGCAGCCGCCTCAGTCCTCGGCTAAGTTTCGTCCTCGTTGCTCGCACTTGCCACTTTGTAAGTAGCCCTAGCCACATACGCACACACACACACACACATAGCAGATACCAGGGAAGACAAGAGCAACTCTCAGCCACAGCATTGCCTTGGTAATATTTACAAGTCACTTGTTTTTATGCCTACATTAATTATGCGCGCTTTTGCCTTTTGCCTTTGGTTTTTGGTAACTTTCGGCTTGTCTTTGATTTTGATGCCGTTGCCACAATTCCTGGCAGGCCTTGGCTTTGGTTACGCTCCGCTCCGCTCTGCTCAGTGGCTCTTATTTCCTTGGTCTTCTTTTTGTTTTTGCCAGTTTTTTTCTTGGCTGTCATCGCAGTTCCGCTCCACCCCACTTCACTCACACTGGATCTGGTCATATTTTTGTTATTTTAAAGCCCGGGCTTGTGGATTCTTCAATAAATTTTGGCACTCATGTCTGTGGTATGTGTTGGTGGCAACTCTGAAACTTAATTGGATGCCGTTCAAGTTTGTCGCTGCTGCTGCCGCTTCTGCTTTTGTGCAGCCCTCTGTGCCCATAAATGTCAGCCAGGTCGAGCTGCATTAACTGACCCAGTTGAGCTCTATCCATGGCTTTGCCCCTTTTACCCACGAGTGCCCTTTAATGGGATTATTGCGCAGTGAAACGTATAATGCGTCAGCCTCGACACTCTCTGCATTTTGCTGCTACTTTGAGCTGGTGGCAAGTAGTTGCAGTTTTTGTTTCTGTGGCCTTGCTATCATGTGCAGTTTTTGGCAGACACTGCGTATGCGTAATGTGCGCATCTTAACTGTGCATCTGTCCCATATATACAGATTTAGTGCTGCTTAGAGATTCTCTTTAGAAACCACTATCAATTTGTATGTGCATTTAGAGTATTAAATTGTTGTACAAATCTATATTTATTACACCTCTGCTAATGCATTAAATATCTTGTTTGGCTCATGTGTAATGCACCTCCAGTTTTCCAGATACCTGAATGTAACTAAGTCTACGGAAATATTCCTGCTGGAGACAGTATTTATATAAACTATATTAACAGCTATATATATTTTAGCTATTAACTATACATAAAATAAAATGTCGCTAAGCACAAAACTAAATCTACCCTCTCTCCGTGATTAACTGTTTCTTCAAAATTTTAACATATAGTTGTGACCAGCCTTACATTGATTCGTAATAGTCAAAAATTTTTCTTTAAATTATTCTCTCTCTCTCCCTCCTTCTCAATCTCTTGATGAGATCCACAAATCACTATTGCAGCTTTTCTTGTCCGCACTTTTCCACGGTTCATTTCACTTTTTGCTCGCCTACTTGACTTTTCGTTTGCATTTTCACCGTCATGCGCCATTAGAATTTTTTCAACATTTTTTAGCTGCATTTAAACCGCAGGAAACCGAATAAATAAGGCTGCAGCTTCGATTTAACAATGAAACTTAGCAGATATTAGCATATTTAGCGCTCTGTAATTAATAATGCATTATTTCATTTTTATTAAATTCTTCAGTTTAATGCGTTTTTATTTGGTTTCATTTGTTCTTAATGCTTTTTACAATTTGCTTCTTTTAAATTTATTATTAATTTAACTTAGAAAATTAATTTTTAGCTTAATTTGTGTATGCGTTTGTGTTTAAGTGTGTTTCTTTGTGTGTTGTTTTATGTGTTCTCTCTCAATAATTAATTCTCATTGTTGTTGAAATATTTTGTTGCCATTTATGGCGTTTCATATTTATTTATTTATAAACGTTTTCCATTACCTAACACTAGCTTAATGTGTTATTTTTATTTATACACCTAAAATAATCATACTTATAATTATCCACCTATTTTTTTAAAAGTTTTTATTTTCGCACTTGCCTGCAAATTCATTCTTAAATATTTGTTTTTCTGTGTATATTAGTTACAGTTTTCTATGCTATTTTTAATTTTTTTTTGCAGTATGTTCTTGTTATCCGGATTTTCAGTTTAATTTTCGGTGCATTTTGCCAACTAACTCACTTGGTGAAATTAAAACTAAATCATTTGCGTATATAGCAACAGTAAGTGTGCGTGTGTGTGTGAGTATGTGTGTGAGCTTCTGTGTGAGTGTGTGTTTGTGTGTGTCTGTGAACAAGGTTTACATCTAATGATTTACTATATTTATTTCATGTACAATATTTAATAGTGTGCTTAAATGATTGCTTCTGTATTTCAACAGTTTTCTGCAGTTTTTTTTTTTTAATTTTTCTATTGCTATTCGTTTTAGTTCTTACAACATATGAAATTTGCTTTCCTTTTGCTCAACTTTTCACCTTCATCGTTATTAGTTTCAATCTTGAAATATTATATTTACACAGAATATTTAGAAAATTGCATGAAGACTTGTATTGTAATGAAAACTCAATTTGTAATTTACCCCAAAAACATTTTGAAACGTATTTGGATAATGAAAAACATTTAAACCTGTTAATATACTTATTTTCGGACAGAACGTTATTGTTTTGATTCTGCAAATGTTGTCAATAAAAATGTTTTAAATTATTTTAAATTAAATTTGAACAAATGCAGCTAAAATATTATTAAGAACGCGTTTCAAAACTATATAATATTTAAATCAGTTAAAATAATTCTATGTACGTTTTATTTTTAGAATATATGAAAATTTTTTAAAAGTTGTTCGTCACTTTCCGCTTGAATCATTCCCTTTGCCATTTTTAACACTTGCTGTAACTACATGAACTTACATTGTTTAAACATTATGTTATTTGTTAAAATTAAGCAGTTTGTTCTTAAATTTGTATTTTATTTTACGGCTACTTATTTACGATATCTACTGCTCTGTTACCCGGAAATACCTGTGCTCTGTGTGGCAAGCGCCTTTTCGAATTGATATAAGACTTGTCCGAGAATTTGTTTGTTTTGTGAGAGTTGCCTTAAAGCTAGTCAAAAAAAAAACCTGAGGAAAATGTGTGTCAATGTCTTTACTTAGGACAAAAACAAATACAATAAATAATTTAAATACAGCTTGGTGCTGCTGTGGCCCAAATTAAAATTTCATAAACTAGAGCACAATACAAAAGGAAACCCTTAATGCCACTCGCGATTTGGCCGGAACACTTGGCACTTCAGCTACACGGCATCCGCCTTCTGGCTAGGATTCAACAGCACCGTGTAGGCCACTTGAGCTCATTCCCAGTTCGGTCCAGGTTTGAAATCCTTTGTGTCACCAAGCAGGTGTCGTCATGGCAACAACACACGAGACACTTGAGTCTGGAGTGCGCAGACGAGTTGCCACTGCATTGGGGCTGCGAGTGGAGCGGGCTGGGGCGGTTGTAACATGTGACATGTGGGCACAGGCAAGTCAATTGTCAGCCAACAACGCCGCCAAAAGCAACTCAATCGGCAAGCAAACAAACCCACAACAAACTCATACAAACACAGGCACACACAACACAACACAACAATAGTAGGTATAGGCCTAGCATTTCTTTTGCTTTGCTGGTTTCTTTTAAAAAGGAACATTTTGCGCGGCCCTTTTTTATGGCTTGAGAGCCCGGGCAAGACGCTGAAAAGTTTATATTAAATGAAAAACTTTTTCAATTACATCAACGGAAATAAAATGCTGCCAGCTTGCCACTCGAGGCACGCATAGCCATAGCTGGACGGCCGGGCGGCACGGTACAGAAGCAGGAGTCTGTCCTAACAACAACAACAACAACAACAAGCACAACAATAACAACTGCCAAAGCTGAAGTCAGAGCCGGGGCTAGAGCCGGGGCTGGAGCCGGAGCCTTTTGTTTAGCGTCGCGTCTTTGTTTTTCGGCTTTATTAGGTTAGGTCGCCTCTGCCCTTTTGTTATACCCTTGCAGCGGGGACAAGCAACTTGCGCAAAAAGTTTGCCAACAAAAATATTAACCATGGGGTCACAAGGTATATATACAATACCATTAACTTTTCCTTTCAAGTTCTTTCTATAGGGCATTGAACTTTCTAAACAAATGAGTTACTAATTGAACCTTGATCAGTTTCTATACAAAATAAATTATTTTGACTATCGAAATATTTTTTAAAATATATTTTAAAGTAAAAGAGAAAAAAATTGGACTTTAAATAATTTATCGGGCTAACTTTTCAGGCAAACAGCAGCAAATGTCTACCATCTCGGTGTACCCTATTCCAAGGGCTCATTCTCATTCCAGGTTTATTAAACTTTTTGTCAATTCGGAATACTCTATTATATGAGGTTCATTCTGTAAGAGCATATTAAATTCGGTTCACTTAGCTACTTGTCAATTCGGAATACTCAATTTTAAAGGAATATTCGGCAAGCGCATATTTAATGCGATTCACCAAACTTTTTGTCAATTCGGAATACTCTATTATTGATGTTTATTCTGCAAGGGCATATTTAATTCGGTTCGCTTAACTTCTTTTTGTTTTCTTCTGCTGTTGTAGTTAGTTTCAGGTTGGGTTGAGTTCTCGTCTTTTGTTTTAACTCGGCGACTGTTGTTTCATCAGTTTGTTTGTCGTGAGCTAACTGCATGAAAATATACGGATACGGATACGAGCACAAACTAAATTTATTTAAGCATGCGCATGTGTGAGTGTGTCATCAGCGCGCGGCTATTTACAGTGCCACTGAATCGTCTAAGGCAGCATCCTGGCCGGCAGCAGCGCCACGTTGTCAAATGTCGCTAGTTTCCTGCGCATCACCCACGTAGCCCTCATCCGGACTGTCCGCCAGCGGTCCATTCAGCTGCTTTAGCTTAGATGCATCCGCTGACTCCGTGCTGTTGCCGTTGCTGTTGCTGCGGCCAGCACAGTCCGTCTCGGCCATGGCCGCATTCGAGCCACTGGGCGATGTTTCGCTCTCGTCCAGCTCCGGTATGGTGGCGCTGCCGTTGACCGCATTGCTCTCCAACGTGGGTGCAGGCGTCGCAGCTGCTCCTGCTGCTGTCAGCGCTGGCGTGGGGGATGGGCTATGGCCGTAGCGCAACGGCTGTGCATGATAGCCAGGCAGGCAGCTCGGCCACTGCTGGAAGGCTGGCAACGGCAGATCGCTGCTCTTGTAGCCCTCGGGTGGCGAGGGAAATTGCTGCTGCAGCTGCAACTGTTGCTGTTGTTGCTGCTGCTGCTGCTGATGCTGCTGGGGATAGCCCTCGGCAGTAAAGCGTACGTTCGGTAACTGATACTTTTCGTAGGCAACGGGAGGCGCGCGCTGTACAAATTCCGCCTCCAGGCTATAGCGCAGGCTGGCATTTTGTGCAGCTGCCGCAGCCGCAAATTGTTGCTGCTGCTGCTGCTGTTGCTTATGGGCGCGATTATGTGGAAGCGTGCGGTAAAAGTTCTGCTGCGGTTGTTGCTGTTGTTGGTTGTGCGGCGCGGCTGCCACCTGTTGGACCAGGTGCGCGCTGCTGTAGTCGTAGGCGTAGCCATCCTGGCCCAAAAAGCAAACCGGATTCAAATGTACATCCACCTGGTGTGGCGATGTGGCTGCTGCTGCTGCAGCTGCTGCTGCGGACGCAGAGTTCAGCACCGATTTCAGCTGCATGCCACGCGGCAGGGTCGTCATGGCGGCAGCGAAGCGTGAACCCATGCCCAGCATAGTATGCGCATGGGGCGTGGCCGTGGCCAGCTGATAGCAGCCCTCATACTGCCCACAGTCGCTGGCTGTCTCATAGTCTGCAGCGCCATCCAGCGAGACGGCCGTCTTCAGCTTGTGCTTGACACTCTCCGCATCGTTGACCAGATCTGGGTTCTTCTCCGGGTAGTTGCGCAGCGACGCAGGTGGCGAGCAGTAGGCGGCAGCCAGGCCGTTGCTCAGCAACAGCGGGGGCGAGCCGGCAGCAGCTGCCGCAGCGTTCATTATGTTCACGTTGAGCTGCAGCTGCTGTTGCTGCTGCTGCTGGTGCTGCTGGTGCTGTTGGTGCTGTTGATGCTGCTGGGCATGGGTATGTGAATGAGTATTTGGCGTGGCATAGAGCAGTAGATTTTGTTTCATTTGACCGCCAAGAATGAGGCCGCCAGCGCTGCCAACGCCGACATTGGCAGAACCGCCGGCAGTGCCATTGCTGGCCTTGGTGGGTGTCAGATTGTCGCTGAGCAGCAGCCCGGCGCCGCCGTTTAGGCTATCGCCATCATTGAGTATCGAGGCGCACTTCATCATGCCGGTATCCTGGCTGCTGGCATTGGTCGAGTCGGTGGCGCCAGCAATGCTGGTCACCTGGTCGCATTTTTTACGCTTGGCAGGCTCCGTGCCACGCTTGCACTTGACCACAATGGTGCAGAGCAGCACGGCAAAGATGATGCCGCCACCAGCACTGCTGGCCACAATGTAGTTCATGTAGTCGCGCGGAAAGGAGACCTCATTCACCACCGGCGGCTCCTTGATGATCACGCGTAGCGTATAATTGCTGAACGTGGTACCGGCTATGTTTTGGCCCACGCAAGAGAAGGTGCCATTATCCTCGGCACCCACATTGTAGATGAAGATCTCGCTGCGTTTCTCCTCAGCGCCACTGCCGCCGCTTTCGTCTATATAGTAGTACATGTGCAGATTGTCCAGCAGACTGTCGTTGCTCATCACCTGGCCATTGAATAGCCAGAGCACCTTCGGCTCGGGTATGGCGCGCACCAGACATGTTATGGACATGTTGCGGCCCTCGCTGACCTCCGTGTAGCTCGATTGCGGACTGACCTCGGGCAGGCACGCGAGCTGTGTCCGCTGCAATCCCTTGATTATCTGACCCTTCAAACGCGCCGGCTCCATGCACTTGGGCTCCTCGGCCAACGGCGTATTATGACTAACCAGCCAGCCGTATACGTCCAGCAGGCGGCAGTCGCAGTTCCAGCGATTGCTATGCAGACTGATGCCGTGCAACGATTTGGGTAGTATATGAGCGCCCTGGATGAAGGCAATGCGATTGCCATCCAGGCGCAGCCACTCCAGATTGTCCATGCCCACAAAGGCCTCGTTCTCGATGCGCTCCACCTGACAGTTGGATAGCTCCAGGGTGGTCAGAAAAGACAAATGCCTAAAGGCTGAAGTCTTTAGCTCGCGAATAGGATTGCCGCTGAGCGAGAGGCGCATCAGCGAGCTGTAATCTTGGAACGTTTCGCTGGGCACATGCTGCAACGCATTCTCGCTCAGATCCAGCTCCACCAGATTGGTCAGTCCGCGGAATGCCTTCTCGTGTATGCGTATCAGCTGATTGCGCGACAAATAGATCTTTTGTAGATTGAGTAGGTCCATACGCAGGAAACGCTCGCTCTGCAATACCTGAAGTCCGTTGCCGCTAAAATTGAGCACCTGTGTGCCCGGATCCATGCCCTCAGGCAGGCTTGACAGCTGCTGTCCGCCGCACTCAACCGTCTGCTTGCCGCCCTTCCATTTGCATACACAAACATCCGGCGGGCAGGCCAGGATGCACTGCACCAGCAGCAGCTGCAGCAGCAACGGGAGCTGTAATTGCAATCGGCGTGGCATTGTGTTACACAGTTTGTCTATTGGCTTTGTCTAAGCTTTATGAGTTTTTTGTTATTTTTTTTTTGTCTTGGCTTTCCTATTTTTAGAAGGTTGTGCGACACTTGGTCACGTTTGCATGTCAAATTAGTAAATGAAGGTGACGTTTTTAGAGTTCCTCTTCCGCGTCACGCAAATATCATTAGCGACATCTAAGCGCAGTCGTTGTTATATAAAGTTGATCTCAGCTTCTCGGCTACTCGGCTTGTCTGGCAACGAATCACGTTGCCTACTCGAGTGTCAGGCAATAAAAGCGCTTCCCGCTAGCCGGCTGCTGGGCCGCCATTATTATCAGAGTGCGAGTGCTCATCATTGTGTCCACGTCGCTGCTGTCATTGCTGATGTGGCGCTCCTTTTTGCCGCAACTGTTCTCAGTGCCACACCCACTGTCGCTGCTGTGTCTGCGTCTTTTGTATTAATTTCATAAAAATGCCAGTCGCTTGATTTTTGCTTGGCAGGGCCTGTGAGTTGGCAAGGCTTTTGTTATTGTCGCCTCTTGGGTCCTGCGGCTTTGCTTTACTTTACTCTACTTTAGTCTACTTAGGCGCTCGTCCTTTTCTTCTTAGCCCTTCAACGGTTTTGCCGTTGACTGAAAAGGTTTTTGTCCTTAATGAAATTATAACGCAATTCATTTGTTGTTGTTGCTGCCGTTGTCTCTGCGGCTGCTGTCGTCGATCCCTTGCCGCATGCTTCGCATTGTGTATGCGACACGTGTACAGATTTTTGTTGCTGTCGCTTTTACTGCTGCTGCTTTGCTCGTTAGGCGCTGCAAGTAAATTGAAGTAAACAAAATAAACGGTTAGCTACAACCATCTTACTCAAGTTTAAATATTTGCTTTTAAAATATGTCAAGTCCATATTAAATTCATTATTGCTAACTAAAATTTCCACTCTTAACAAGTAAACATATTGAAGAAAGCTCTAGTCGTCGTATTTCGACTCTTTAAACTGTAGACAGAGTAACAGGCTAGTAATCCCCTACAGGGAGCACATTATGTAGAAAAAAACCCTATTTATTATTTATATAATACTGTTCCGTATCTTAAGAGATTTAAGTAATTTCTCATTTGATATATGTTAAAAGATTTACATCTATTTTAATAATAAATATAATTTGTAAATTTACCACTAGGTAAAAAACTAAAAAAAAAATTGTGTTATTTTTAAATGTTGTTTGCAAAATTAAATATTATTATACTCTTTATATTTTCAATATTATTGTCAGTTAAGAAGTCAAATATTTATTAACAGAATAGAATAATAGCTTTTCAGCTGCTTGTAATGCTCGTAAACAAATAAAAAGTACAATTTTAATTTTTAATATCTCCTTTCATCAATATACTTCTCTTTTTTTGCGTTTTCCTGTACATCCGGCTGCAAGTAAATAGCTTCGTTATTTTTGTTTGAATTTCAATGCAATCCTCAATAAAATTCTGTCTATAGCATCCTTTATTTTTGCCGATATTCAGATAATTACAATTTTTATTTTTTTATCGTGGCATGACATGTGCGAATGAACGTATGTATATAGGAATGTACGCACTTGTATTTATGTACTTTATTTCAGGTGATTTATTTTTAATAACTTTTCCAGGCAGTTGGCAAATATTTCATCGCCCGCACTTGATTATTAATGTACTTTCATTTGGCCCACTCGGAGTTCGTATGTTTATGCATAATGAATCCGGCGGATTGATTTCAACTTGAAAGTGAAATGAAAAACATGGACAGGATAAACTCATTCATATCCTATCGCCAATATGCAAATACGAGCAAATGAAAATGAAATCGCACAGCTGTAAAAACCAATTCCATGCAATTTGTTGCCTTTAATTGCATTTCGTGTTTTGTTAATGCTGAAGGGAAAGAAATACACATCCCCATAGGCGCGTGCATGCGTGTCTGTGGGGTTTATTATTTCTCGTTGTGCTGATTACCTGCTCATTATGAACCTTATACCATTTGATATATGTATAGCGAGGGCACAGCTGTAGGCTGGCCATTAAATTACCTTTGCCCCTGGCAGCAGCAGCAGCAGCAGCAACAAGCTGACATTTATATTTGTCCAAATTAATCAGAGGACATTAAAATGCCAAAAGACAAAGGAAATGACAGGCAAGCAACGTAAACCAGAATGTAAATAAGCAAGAGCACAGACAATCGAACGAAGATGACAGCTATAAATCATGCAACATATTGCACTAAAGCCACTTTAGGTAAATAACATATAAATTACACTAGAAATTGAGCCAAGTGCAAGTGGCCAAAAGCTAGGCAGCCAAGCAGCCAGTCGCCGGCCAAGTAAATCGGTCGAAAAACAAGCTATTCGAAAGAGACGCAGCAATTGTGTAATTCGAACCAGCGGATACACGAGCACAGGCAAAGAATTTCAGCAAGCCAGCCACGCGCTTCATTAGCCACCCACAACGGGCGCAACGGACTAACAGTCAAGCTATATTGACTGACTGACTGACTGACTGACTGACTGATTAACTGGATGGTTGGTATGGTAAACGTGTGCCGGCTGGCGCCAATGCAAATGCGTAATGGATACTTGGCTATGCCATCATTTTGTTGGCCAACAAATTGACTTGATTTGCTTTTGCCATGGCAGCGGCACCGACTTTCACCTGAACTCAGTTTTTTCAACATTATTAATAACTAGGCATTAATCTTGGCCATGTCGTTGCCAATGCCGCAGCTGGCTTGGCCTTTTAGTCAAATGTTTAGCGCTTAGCTTGTAATTGTAGCTGTGATTCTCTTCGCTGCTAAACAGGTAAACGTGGTCAGGTTTATTTATGGCAGCAAAGCTGCTGAAAAATTCATGAACTGTGTATTTAATGAGAGATTATTTTATATCAAGGTTTCTCGTATCTAATGTTAATTACCAAAAACCACTTCGAAACAATTGTAATCAGCAAATCGTTTATAAAATCACGAAAAAGAGTTTAAAATCAAATAACTTGTTATGCAAACAAGGCCAAATAATTTGTTTTAATGCTAATTAATAATTGAAAAGATTTAAATAGATATTGATTTTATTATTATATTTTTTTTTTTTTTTTTTATTTTGGTAATGCGCTGTGCTCAATAAAATTCGTTTATTATTTATTCTAAATTTGCATCTCTCGCAAAGGAGATTTAGTTTGCTTTAGAATACGATTAAACATATTTGCGTTGAAAACAATTTATTTGAAAATAAATGTATAAATTAAAAGATGTATCAAAATATTAGAAAACATGTTTATATTGGCCGTCCATAGTTGATATTAAATTAATTTTCACAAACGCATATAAACGGGCGCCCTTTAACTATGCATAAATTTGGGAAAAGAAAAGAAAAATCAATTCCCAAATAGACAAAAAATATTTTGTTGTGCTTTGTGCTTATATAGATGCTGTTGCGCAACACTCTGAGGACGTTTGTGAATTGCTGAAAGAAATTCTAATTTAATTTATGCTCGTACAAATACAAGACATTTCGCATTTGGCTGCCTTGGCATCAGTTTTGTACACATTTTTGACATTTTCATTTGTCAGTTATGAAGCAGCAGCAGACAACACAGGACTCAGGGCATTGGACACGGAAGTGTGCGTGGCTGGATGTGTGCGTGCGTCCTTGTGTGCTCGTGTGTTATATCCTTATCACAAAATGATTTGACAGTCGAGAGCAACCGCTAGTTGAACTGTGTTCGTGCGTCTGTGAATCTTAAAAATGTCATGAATTTTATGTTATTTAATAGAACCGAATGAGACGGATGCTGAGTAAAACCAGCGGCAAATCGTTGAGATTTGTGCCTTGTAGATCGCCAGCAAGTGGAAATATTCCGGCTGCCTCTCTAATAACATTTATTTCATTTTATTTTATTTTGTTTTATTGATCCCATGACCCATGTCTGTGCTGTGCATTGGCACGTCTTTTGAACTGCTGTCATTGAAAATAATTTCAATTTCATTTGAGCTCTGGAAATCAATAGACGTTCGCAGCCAATAGGCATTTCATAGAAGACATAAGCAATTGTTTATTTTATATTTTCTTTTGTGCTGCATTCCCTTTTCCATTTTTTATTGGGCGTTAATAGTCGTCGCCTTTTGTTATACGCTGTGTTTACTTAATGCAAAAAAAATGTGTGTGTGTTGTGTGTGTGTATTAAATATGCGAAAAGAGTCGATTGGGCTTTGGGCTGCAGAACGAACACCGACACGTGCCGCGCTTTTGTCGGTACTGGTTGTGCCTGTACTTAATTTATTTTTTATTTACAAACTGCAAGCGACTTCAAGCTAAGTACTTTATTCGGTGGCGTTCTAATTTCGGTGGAGCAGCGGTTAAGTAATGCCGAGTGCTTGTGGCTTTTATAGATTTCCGTCTAAAGTGCCTGCTAATACGCTTAAACTTAATTAAAAACTTATCAACAGCTGCGGCAAACAATTTGGTTGCCGTATCCAGCCGTTGCCCTTGGCAACCTAACCAACAGGAAGTCGTCTTTACAGCGACAACTTGCAAAGACCCTGGCCAAGAAGTGGGGCGCCTTTTCGGCTCCAAAGACGCAGGGAAAACTACGTACAACTATTTTTATTACCGCCTGAAGAGAAGTCAACCTATATAAAGTTCGTCTTTGGATCGTAATTGTATTTGAAATGCATAATAAATTGATTAAGCAATAAATGCAATAAATGCAGTTGATTAAATACATATACATATGTTGCTTTATTTTAGTTGAATAATTAATTCAGATTTGATCAGGTTTAAAAAAAGGATGTGTTACTGCGTGTAGCCGTATCTAAGCTTTGCAAAAAAATCGTTTTGACGAATAGCTGCCTGGATGTGTGTGGACCAAGTAATTAATAATATATTTATGTTTGCTTTTATTATTATTTATTACACTGCGCGACGAAAACAGTTCTAGATCGCCGTGTTGAAAGCACTGCAGCAGTGGCAACTTCCAAGTGGCGTTGCAAACATGTCATAACATGTGAAAATTAAAATGTACATGACAACTTAAGCGGCGTTCTGGCGCAGGCATTCGCAAGCTACCACCGCACCCCACTCGCACGGCACAGCCAAGAGCACTTAATTTGGCATGTTGCCTACTGTGCTGGCCCTGGCCAAGGTAGCGTGACAGCAATACAGCAACAAAAACAACAACAACGACAACTGTTAGAGCAACACAAACAGGCACAGGTGCAGCCACAGTGGCGGCAGGACAACTGGCAGGACAACCACAGCGACGAGTGCCATTCTGTAGCGTGCATAAATTTTATACTACCTTAAAAAAAGGCACAGCGATGGCCATAAAACTTCTACTCGCCAAGCCTGCCACGAACTGGCTGTGCAGCGAACTAACAGCGGCAACAAAAAAATAAAAAAACAACATTGCAAAAGGGCGCGGCAAATAAAATTACGCATGCAATGGCAAAATAATAAAATATGCATAAAAAATAAGCTGCAGCAAAATCTGGCCCAAAAGCAAAAAAAAAAAAAATAGTAATATGCCAGAAAAATAATATTAAATAAAAGAGAATTCCAGTAGACAGCGTGATGCCCTGTATTAAATGAAGGTTGAAGGTGAGATATTTTATGTTTATGTTAACAATTTTGTCATAGCAAAAAATTTATAGAGTGTAGCTTTTTCCAAGAGAAAATGGCTAAAAAAAAGTGCCTAATAAAGTGAGTAAGGCTTAAAGAGAAATTTGAACGTGAAAATATGAACTGACTAGAGCGAAGGTATAAATTTGCAAACTCTAAATTTAATTTAATTTAAACTA